GCGCCCCCGCCTCAGTTGTCTAAACTTCAGGCTGTCTTCCACCCGCCCTCCGCGCCCGGAGTCAACAACTTCTTCACCCCCCTCCGCCCCCGCCCTTCCCTTCGTCAGTCCCGGGAGCTCGCCGCGCGGCGGGGACCAGGAACCTCCGGCGCGGAGATGTGGCGGTGAGACGTTCGCGGGCGGCGAGGAGAAGCTCGGCGGCGTCCCGGAGCCGGAGGGCGCTGGGGCCGGGGCGCAGGGGCGCGAGCTCTCCGCGCCTCCCCCCCGCCGCCTCCGGCCGTCTCTGCCGCCGCGCGTGCCTTGCAAGCGGCAGCCGGAGCTGCCAGGCGCCAGGGCCGCGGAGGTGTCGTCGCCGTCGCCGCCGGCGGGGGCTGCCAGCGCCGCCCTCCCGGCCTCGGAGAAAGTGCACGGCTTCACCCGGAAATCGGTGCGCAAGGCGCAGAGGCAGAAGCGCTCCCAGGGCTCGTCGCGGTTCCGCGGCCGGGGCCGCCAGGCGGAGCTGCACCCCTTGCCCCGGCTCCAAGATGCTGCTTCAAATGAACAGCGAGAGCTTTTCTGTCAGGAGCTGCAGCGGTGTTGGGTACTGTTTGATTTCACGGACTCGGTTTCAGACTTGAAGAGCAAAGAAATTAAAAGAGCAACACTGAATGAACTGGTTGAGTCTGTTTCAACTAACCGTGGTGTGATTGTCGAATCGGCATATTCTGATATAGTAAAACGGATCAGTGCTAACATTTTCCGTACTCTTCCTCCAAGTGATAATCCAGATTTTGATCCAGAAGAGGATGAGCCCACACTTGAGGCCTCTTGGCCTCACATACAATTGGTGTATGAATTCTTCTTGAGATTTTTGGAGAGCCCTGATTTCCAGCCTAGCATTGCAACGCGAACATTTTTGATCAGAATTTTGTACAACAGCTCCTGGAAATTTTTGATAGTGAAGATCCCAGAGAACGTGACTTCCTGAAGACAGTTCTGCATCGAATTTATGGGAAATTTTTTGGATTAAGAGCGTTCATCAGAAAGCAAATTAACAACATTTTCCTCAGGTTTATATATGAAACAGAACATTTCAATGGTATTGCTGAACTCCTCAAAATATTAGGAAATATTACCAACGGGCTTTGCATTGCCACTGAAAGCAGAACATAATTTCTAATGAAGCTTCTTATTCCTATGCATACTGTAAAAGGATTAGCTTTGTTTCATGTTCAGCTAGCATATTGTGTCGTACAGTTCCTGGAGAAAGATACAACACTAACAGAACCAGTGATCAGAGGTCTGCTGAAATTTTGGCCAAAAACGTGCAGTCAGAAAGAGGTGATGTTTTTAGGAGAAATTGAAGAAATCTTAGATATCGTTGAACCAACACAGTTCAAAAAAATTGAAGAGCCACTTTTTAAGCAGATATCCAAGTGTGTATCCAATTCTCATTTCCAGGTTGTAGAAAGGGCATTGTACTTCTGGAATACTGAATATATCCTTAGTTTAACTGAGGAGAATATTGATAAATTTCTGCCAATTATGTTTGCCAGTTTGTACAAATTTCCAAAGAACACTGGAATCTGACCATTGTAACCCTAGTACACAATGTGCTGAAAACCCTAATGGGAATGAATGGCAAGCTTTTTGAGGACCTTACTAGCTCATACAAAGCTGAAAGACAGAGTGAGGAAAAGAAGGAATTGGAATGTGAAAAATTATGGAAACAATTAGAGGAGCTAAAGCTAAAGAAAGCTCTAACAGTGCTTTTAACATGCACAGTATTCTCAGCAATACAGGTGCTGAATAAAAAAAGCCTACCACCTCTGCCAGATAGGCACAGTTTTGTACACTTTTTTGAAATATGTAAAAATTACAAAACAAACATCACTATAATATAATTAGAAGGTCAATTTTTTTCCTGGCAACTGTAAGTGAAAAATATATGGACTAAACATAGCCCTGCACTATATCATGGCCACAGTCTATTGTAACCACTGTCTAATCATTGACTTATTTTGCCACGTCTGAAGTTTCACAGAAATGAATGAATATTATCTATGATATGAGTAAGATAATTATGGGAGTGGTAAGAATTATGACTTGAATTCTTCTTTGATTGTGTTGCACATAGATAAGGTCTGCTTTGTATATGTTTTTCTTTTATAATGTACTTTTTCACATTGCTACAGACCTCAGTTACATCCTAGGAAAAAGAATACTTCCTAAAATAAAACTAAGGTATCATCCTTACCCTTCTCTTTGTTTTGTCCAGAAATATGATGGGGGAGTTACATGCCCTAAGTCCTCCCTCATCAAAGATATTACTGTACTCTGGAATTTGGGAAAAACCTTAAATTTCCAGGCTTTTTAAAGCACCAAGTATAAATAAAAGCTAGGAAAGTAAACCAAAATTCTTCAGATTGTTCCTCATGAGTGTCCCCTTCACCTGCAGTTCCCCAGAGTGATGAACAGATGCTTAGAGGCATCGGGTGAACACCCAGCTTGTCTCTCAATTCATTCCTCCTCCTCCTCCTTCTCCTCTTCTTCCTCCTCTCAAAGGCTGAAGGCAGGACCTTTCCAGTCCTCACAACCTACTCTTCCCTCAGTGCGTCCTAAACCAGGGATGGCGTCCTGAACCAGGTTTGTTGGCTTCGAGTCCCACAGTGTGGTGATACAGAGCGCTAGTTGTCACTGCCTCGCTTTATTTAAAGGAAATGCAGTAGGCTTCCTCTGTAGAGTTCCAAAAGATGATTACTATATAGAGGTCTTGTATGTTTTTACTTGGTCAAATATTTCTCACATCTTTTGTTATCAGAGTACCATTCTGATCTCTTAACTTACAGTTGTGTGGATAACTATTTTGTAATGAAAGATCTGCACTGGGGGATTGAGCAGCGTTTAATAAAATCTATGTTTGCAAAAAAAAAAAAATCTCAACAGTAGATTTGAGGAGCAGAAGGAACAACGAGAAAACTTGATGATAGATCAATCGATGCTATTCAGTCCAAAGAACAGATATAAAGAAAAATAAACAGAGTCTTAGAGACCTATCGACATCATCAAGCATACCAACATATACATAATAGAAGTCTTAGGAGAGAAACCCTACCAAGTATGATGAATAACATTAATTTATATGTCTAAGAAACTCAATAAACTTCAAATAGAATCTTTAAAGACAAAGGCAAGAGAGAATCTTGAAAGAAGCAAATGAAAAGCAACTTATATACAAGATATTGCCATTAAAATTAACAGTTGATTTGTCATCAGAAACCTTGGAGGTCAAGCTAAATTTATAACAGTGAAGGAAGGTCTACCTCTTTTAAAGTGTCAAATTGGTAACTTATCTTTCCACTTTAAAAAGAAGGAAAAGAAGATCAAAATTGGCAGAGGAAAAGAAAAAAATAAAAATTAGAATGAAAATGAAACTCTAGAAAGAGAGAAATTAAATAACACAAAAAGTTTGTTCTTTGAAAAAATATTAAAATTGACAAATCATTAACTATATTGCCCAAGAAAAAAGGGAAAAGTCTTAAATGACTAAAATCAGAAATGAGAAGACGTTACTATTGACCTTATAGAGACTGAAAGGATTTTAGGAGACTACACTTAAACAATGTATGCCAAGAAATTAGATAACATAGATGAAATGAACAAATTTCCAGAAAGGCACAAGCTACCAAAACTGTTTCAAAAATTTAGATAAATTTGAATATAGCCATACAAATAAAAAGATTGAATTAGTAATATAAAACCTTCCCATACAGAAAAGTTCCATTCAGCTTGCTATGAAATTCATGATTTTGTTCTTCTTTATGGTTGCATAATACTCCATCATGTGTATATACCACATTTTCTTTATCCAGTCTATTTTTGATGGGCAGGTGGGTTGATTCCATGTTGTTGCTATTGTGAATAGTACAGCTATAAACAAGTGTGTGCAGGTGTCTTTTTTTTTTAATGTTCCTCCAGCTATATTCCCAGTAGAGATATTGCTGGATTGTATGGAATGTCAAGAAAGTTTTAGTTCTTTTAGAAATCGCCACACTGCTTTCCACAGAGGTTGAACTAGTCTGTGCTCTCTCCAACAGAGTAGAAATCATTCTTTTTTCTCCACATCCTCACCAGCATCTATTGTTTTTTGATTTATCGATGAGGGTCATCCTTACTGGAATTAGGTATTATCTCATTGTAATTTTGATTTGCATTTCTTTGATTAGTGAGGCTGAGCTTTTTTCATGTATCTGTTGGCTGCTTGTATGTCTTCTTTTGAGAAGTGTCTGTTCATGTCCTTTGTTCATTTTTTGATAGGATTGTTTGGTTTTTTTCCCTTTCGGTTCATTTACATTCCCTGTAGATCCTGGATGTTAGGCCTTTGTCAGATACATTATTATCAAATATTTTTTTCCTATTCTGTGGGCCATCTCTCCACTCACTTGATGGTTTCTTTTGCTGTGTAAAAGTTTTTCAGTTTTCTGAGGTTCCACTTGTCTATCTTGTCTTTTATGGCATTCACTTTTGAGGATTTGATCAAGAATTGTTTGTCTACTCCAATGTGCATAGGAGTGTTTTCTACAATTTCTTTTAGGATTCTTAGAATTTGAGTTTTCATGTTTAGGTCTTTTATCCATTTGGAGTTGATGGAATTGGAGACCATCATACTTAGTGATCTATCACAGAAACAAAGAACTGAATACCAGGTGATCTCACTCATAAGTGGGTCTTGAACACTAGTCATATTAGCACAAGGGAGGGAGCAGCAGTCACTGGGCATTGCTAAGGGAGGAGGGGAGGCACATAACAACACAAAGCATACCTGGTCCCAAACCAGGGGAAAAGAGGGCCCATTGAAGGCCCAAACTTCATCTGCATGCAGACTACTTATGTAGTTAACACTTACTTGTATCCCACATCTCTATAGTAAAATAAAAATTTTTTAAAAGCTCAAGACCAGGTGGATTTACTGATGAATTCTATAAAATATTTAAATACAAATTAACATTAATTATTCACAAAATCTTCCCCAAAAATAGAAGACTTGAAACACTTTCCAGTTTGTTCTTTGAGGCCAGCATTACTCCAATACCAAAATTAGAAAAGGACATCACAAGGAAACTACAGATCAACATTCCTTATAAATATAGGTGCAAAATTCTTTAATAAAAGCAGCAAACCAAATCCAGCAACATATAAAAAGAAGTATATGCCATGACCAAGTGGAATTTATTTCAAAAATGCATTTTTGGCTTTGAAAAAACTTAACATGCTTTCATGAAAAACAAAACAAAACACTTAGCGAAGAATAGAAGGGATTTTTCTCAGTCTGGTAAAGCAAATTCACAAAAATCCTAAGCTGACATCATACTTTGCAATGAAAGACTATATAGTCTCACTACATCTATCTATACCTATAGTGTCAACATTGTACCGCAGGTTCCAACCAGAAAAATTAGGCACAAAAAGGAAGTAAAAAGTGTCTATATTAGAAAGAAAAAAGGAAATCTCCATTCATAGATGACAAAATCTTGTATATTGAACATCTAAGGAAGCCACAAAAATACTGAAACTAATAAGCAAGTTAAGCAAATTTTCAGAGTGCAATATCAATATACAACAATTGTGTCTCTACACACTAGCAAAGAAAATCAAAAGCCGGGCATGGTGGCTCAGCCTGTAATCCCGCGCCTTGGGAGGCTGTGGTGAGTGGATTGCCTGAGCCCACAGGTTCGAGACCCACCTGGGCAGCTTGGCGAGACCTCATCTCTACAATAAAAATAAAAAAATCAGCAGGGCGTGGTAGCACACACCTGTAATTCTGGCTGCTCGGAAGGCTGAGGCGGAAGGATCGCCAGAGCCCAGCAAGTCGAGGCTGCGGGAGTGGCCACTGCACTCCAGTCTAAAAAAAAAAAAGAAAATCAAAAAATTGAATTTTCAAAAAATATTTTTTCAGAATTAAAAAAAAAAGAATAAAATATTTGGTACAAATTTAACCAAAGAAGTACAAGACCTGTACAATGAAAACAACAAAACAGTGCTGAATGAAATTTTTAAAAACCTAATAAATAGAAAAGTGCTCCACTTTCTTGGGTCAAATTAATATCATTAAGATGACTGTATTTCTCAAATTCATCTATAGATTTGACACAGTCCTTACCAAAATCCCATCTGCATTTATTATAGAAGTTGATAATTTGTTCTAAATGTATACTGAAATTCAAGGAACCCAGTATGGCTAAGACAATCTTGAAAAAAGTGAACAAAGTTGGAGAACTCGTGCTTCCTTATTTCAAAACTTACTACAAAGTTACAGTAATTAAGACATGTAGTACTGGCATAAGATAGACATACTTAGGACAATGGGATAAAATTGAGTTAAGAAATAAACATAAACCTTTTAGCAAATTTATAAACCATTTATAAATCAAATTGACTAAATAAAACATTTTAGTCCTTTTTTTACAAAGATGTGACAACAATTAATGGAGAAAATAATAATCTTTTTAACAAATGATACTGTGACAATCGGTCATCCAGATGCAAAAAATATAGTTAGATTCTTACCTCACATCATATACTAAAATGAACTCAAAGCGAATCAAAGACCTAAATGTAAGATATAAAACTCTTAGAAGAATACAAGTTTAAATATCTGAGTAGTTGAATTAAACAATAATTGCTTGGTTTTGATACCCGAGGCACAAGCAACAAAATTAAAAAATAGCAAATTATACTTTATTTAAATTAAAAACTTTTGCTTAAAGAGACATGTCAAAAAAATGAAAAGGCAATCCACAGAATAAGCAGAAA